TGATCCAATACATCTTCACAGACTCGAAAAAAACATGCAGTTTAGAAAGGTCAGAGTAAATCTGAGTAAACTCTGCATGCTTGCTCCAGGTCAGTGACCCTGAAAGTAACGATATGACCAGATCAGCCAGTCAGCCAGGCAACTAGTATTTTTGAAGAGCAGTTTAGCAATGGCAGCTTGCACATGTGATCAGTACAGGTGTCCTTTAGAAAACAAATGGCTGCTTTGCCCACAGCCATGAATCAAAAACCAAAGTTTCTGCAGCTGAAATGGCATCTGCAAGTTTGAGTCCAATGGCCAACTGTGGGCAGCATTGTTTTTGCTTTTCACTTTTCCCATTGAAGCCCACCGTTTGTTGTTTTTTTTTCTTACGGGTCAGTTCATTAATGATCTTTCTGAGATAGGTGGAGGTGTGCTGAATCAACCATTGGCTTCTTGTACCTCTTGAGGACTTCAACAGCCTGACTAGCCCGTTGTAGCTTCTGTCAGTGTTCCCACCCACCTAGAGTCTCCCTCCTGCTATTGGACTGTTCCAATGATTCATGTATAATTCCTTATAATTTAAATTAATAAATGGGCAAAGCAGGATGTAAGTGCCGGCCTGGGAGCTCAGACATAGTGATCCCACCACCAGAGACCCCAAGAGATATAAGAAACCATTAGGTATAGCACTCCGGCATTTTTATAAGAGAAACTGTGTTCACTTTAACACCTCCCATCCTTCCCCAAACTGCAGGCAGCCATGAACAGGAATTACCTAGAACTGCCTACATTGGGTAGACATCATGTAGAGGTCCCTGGAGACCCTAAATCTTATGGACTACCAGTATGTAAAGAGCAGCTACTGTTCCTTTAAAGGGTAGTTCCACTTTCCCAGGTGAGTTTGTGAAAATAGAGTTAAACCCACCAAACTTGCCCCCTCTCCAACCCCCTTTACTTCCCTTTCGGCAAAAGCTACTTCCCCTCTGCTGGTGCCAGTGTACTCTCTGTACCACATACTGCCCTGTAGCACAGCCCTGCGCTCTGGATTCTGAATTTCACTCGCAAATGGCGAGCACTAGTTGGTCATGAGAAGCGCTTCTTATCGAGCACGGTCAGTGACCCTAACCTGAAGTGTAGCAAGAGGGGGGAGAGGGGGCCAGGTTATGGGTAATTCTATTTTCCCAAAGTGGAAATACCCTTAAAAATGTATTTACACTTTCGCAGCCAGTTTGGGATAACACCTACGTTATATTTGTTACATGTTCCCATTCTGGTAGCCTAACTTTAAAAAAAAGCAAAAAGTTGCAGCTTACATTTTTTCGATGTTCATTTTGCTAACTCCAGGACTAAACATTCCTACTTAATTCACAGTATTTGGGGGAAGTAGGGGGCAGATTTCATTATTACTAGATGAGCAGGACTGCCTGTCCTAAATAAAGGTTAAAGCCCTAAAGACAGAGGGGAATTTATCAAAACTGGAGCAGTTGCCCATGGCAACCAGTCAGCAGACTAATGACATCCTCTTAGCCTAGGCACAGTTACCCCCTCCAATCTGGCCTCTCCCTCCTCCCCCATACTTACCTTTCGGCAAATGCTGCTTCCCCTCCGCTGGTGCCAGTGTACTGTAAAAAGCATGTGACTGCTTTTTAATAATAAAAAACCTTTTTTTTTTTCAATTATTGGGACATATCAGGAGTGTTTTCATGCAGACTGGTCCACTCTAAGTAATCAAATTTGCTGTTTGCATGTTAGAATCCTGAGGAGCCATACAAGTATTTTGGTCACTCATGTGAGCGCCTTCAGATGCGTGGTATACATGGCAGTGTATAGGAGTGAACACAGGCTCGCTTTAAATGGACTGACTCTTCAAAACTCATCTCAACCCCATTTACTCCATTCCATGAAATCACTGCTAGAAGTAGAATACTAGAATTACTTTACCCGTTATTCGCTCAGGTCCCTTATGTGTATCTTTGGTCTTTATGACATCATCAGTGCTAGTTGAATGGGGAAATTCTGTACAAGATATTCCCTTACGGAGCGCATTAGATGACTGACCCTGAGCCGACAATCACAAAGTCATTTTAAGAGGTCTGTTAATAGAATCCAATGCCAAGTCTTTCCAGTAACACCCCATTACAGGATCACCAGGCTACTGGGTCAAGATTTTATATATTTTTTTTAAAAGGACTTTAGGAGAAAACATCTAGTTATAGAAATACCTTTAGGCAAAGTATAAGGGCCTGTGTCAATGGGCTTTGGGCTTGCGTTGTTGGCTAAGTGCAGCGTGCTTTTGAGATGCTCCCGAGATCATTCAGAATTCTTTGACATTGCATTTTTGGCCTGCAGTTGGCCTCCATTGATCTGCTTTAATTTGCATTTCCATAGGTTGTATAGTGAGAGAAACATTTTTAAGGCGAACAAAACCCCGCTAACGTAGGCCCTAAATATTGCAACAATTTGAAAGGCTTTATTGCAAACCCTTACCTGCCCCCATTCTGTAGGATTTCTTTAGATGTACAGCACTCATTCTGCATGCTTTTAGCAAATGTGCAAGCGCAGCAAATGTATGGACAATGTGGGGTCGGGTGCCATCTACCAGACAACTGACTGCCTGCAATTCGACTTCAAACTTCACATTTTTGGGAGACGCTATGATACAATTACAGTAACGAATGGACGCAGGGAAGTAACGCTTTTTTTGTAACTTTGTTATAGAACATATCTGACTGCAGATTGAAATGAAAAGGTACAATATGGCCGATAGTGGACACCTGACCATCAGACCTAAATGAGCTTGTTGGAATGGGATTCAGAAACCATGGGCATTAATATTGGGGGGTCCCCGCCCACCACTCCTTGTGGCTTACAGCCTCCACTCTTCTGGGGGGGGGGGGGGTTCCCCAGGGGTTTGAGGTGGCGC